ACTGTTTGGACGCTTGATAATAATATTAGGTATGTATTCCGTACACATTAATGCCACAATGCCATATAGATAATAAACAAAGTAAGGAGATTAACAAATTATATACTCTTTCAACTTAAAGGACGTGATATCCGGATGTGTGGTCGCCATCTTAAGCACGCTTATGGAAAAATTGTATTCATTAATTTCAATAGCGTGTTGTTAGTTTTGATATTGGAGTTATATGTAGGTACAATATATTTAATCATCCACAGATGAGTTTACTATTATATCCAATGAATTTTAAGGTAAATAATAGAGATAATATATGGTTACATATATTTATTTTATCATTTCCACCTTAAAATAGTATTTGTCCATTATTCCGGCCGTATATAGACTAGATATTTAAATTTTAAATACAGTTTCGCGTGACGTGTGAAGCTGTTCTTAATAGAACCTATATAAATTGGTAGCTATGAACATACAGTGTAGAATAATAAAATTGAGGTAAATACAAATAATGATGAATTACATTATTAAGTCCTAAGTTGATTCAAACACAAAATTTAAAAGAGGCATTTTATATAGAGTTATATTTACTCGAAAAATGTAATGGCCACGTTTCATTTATTTAAAATAACGTAATATTGGTGTTGTGATGCAGATAAGGTTGACAAAAGTTAAATTGAATAAATTAACACGTAACCAAATTAACTATTATTTTAAGTATATTGACGGAGATTAGTGTTTAACACGTTTAAACACTCAGAGTAATATTACAATTTAAGTATTAATATAAATATCTCCAGCATTAATACTGTCAACTAGTCGTCACGTAGAAATAGTGTGTATGAGCGAATTTTAGTCAGATCCCATTTTCTAAGGTCTCGCGAGTATTCACTATGGGTTTTAGTATTTTAAGAAATCACCTTTTTCTAGTATACATTTTCAATAGTAATTTCTATATTATAACACGTACATAATGCACAATACTGTCTAAGTATATAATATGTGTATGTTCCGTCCAATCCTACCTATTATAGTTATTTCAACACTGTAATTTGTTATCTCCGTCTTATAGTTGCAGTGTAAGATAGCAAATTTACGTTAAACAGATTACGTGAAGCTTTGCTAATTTAAAAATTATATAGAGTGAAGTGAGTGAACCGACCTCTCATGACACTTTATAGTAAGAACATTTTCTGTGTTTGTACCTGGGTTTTTACCGATAATTCAATTTTTAAGTGAGTTATGAGTTTTTAAATTATGCTATACTTATTATATGCATAAAAGTTCTCAAAAAGTTTTCAAATTAGATTTGTAGGTCTTCTAAATTCAGTATCTTACAACAAATATCCATTAGCTATTGTTAATGTCTATGTAAGATTTTATAAATAATAGTATTATTAATATAATGTTCAATAACTACTGGTATTAATATTGTACCTATATAATGCTTTTTAGTAAAAATTTTAACGAGTAAAATTAATTATTGGCGTCTGACAAAAAAAAAAATCAAACATACTGCATAGCTGCAATTGTAGTTGTTTGGCAGTATATTGATGATGCTATATATCTAAACATTTCTGTGTCTAGTTCGTATATGTATAGGTACACGAGAATCATTTACATTATTTTATTATGATATACAGGGTGTAACAGAAAGATATGACAGATTTGTGTAAGATTTACATGTAAATCTGTCATATCTTTCTGTTACACCATGTATAGGATCATTGGTATATTATTTTATATTTACAACACACGTGCGAGCTCAATGTATATTATATTTTCAGTAGGACAGAAAGAACTTAGGTAATCGTGCTTATATAGGTAATGGTTTATAATACGGTAGGTTAGGTTTATAAAATAGACGGTACCTATATAATATGTACATATCTAATRAAAAAAAGTAGTTATACCTACCTATATAGTTGCGTAGAAAAAAAGAATGTTTGGTCCTTTCACATCGAATAGGACGTATATATTATTCACACACGAATGAGGGTATATATATTATATATACATAATATACACATACAAAACATGCAATATAGGCAATGCATTATTCAAGCATGCAAGTAATATCATAATATACTTTATAGTGTATGAGTGACGACGTGCAGTGTATTGGATGAACAATGCTCATCTAGACCCGAATCCTGATCTTAAGAATTTTTAAGTACAATATATTATTATATACTAAAATACCATATTTTTAATTACTTAAGTTTCTAATTCTAATAGCGTATAGTAAACTGACGAATTGCTTATACCTGCTATAATATAAGAAATATCATTATATATTATGTTACCAATGATATGACTGATTGAACAAACACTTGAATCTGCACCGATAATCAAGTCTCGAGATTAAAATAATTATACTTAAAATATCTAGTGTACCAAATCTGTTTACGTCAATTTTTCGACGATTTCAACGAGCGAGATGGGCGAATCGCCAATTTAGAATAAAACACTTTTTATTGCTCCGGTTCAAAATTCGTAGAACTAAGCTCATATTTGGAATATAGGAATAAGAATAACGTTAAAACAACATGTCGTCTACTTTAATTCATCACCTCATAGTATTTAACGGAGGGATGGTCAATAAGCATGTGACCCATCAAGAAATGTATAAGTTTTAGCTAATTTTTAAAAATTGTATAGATACCTATTAACCTATTTTAAAATATTGAGATGAAATAACTATTTGGGCACAACGCACAAATATATAAGTCAATGGTGAGTATAGGTTCTTAATAGTGATATTTGCCAACACTAATATTACTTACACTAAAATATATAAAAGTGCTCAGATTTTTTGAAAGGGGGAGGACTTGTGAATTTTTATTTATTCTCAGCCCCGTATTACATAATGTATACCTACATTTTTCATTATATATTTAAATGATGAAAATAAACTAATGGGGGGGGGGGCATGACACCCTCATTACCTGCATGTGCAGCGCTCCCTGTATAAAAATGCATGCGTATATTTAATGGTTATTTATAGTAATCTATATTTTAAATTTTTAGCGTTTTATACTGTATCTACTATAATTTGTTTGTCTATATTGCGCAGGTATACTGATAATCCCGAGTCTGTAAAACGGGAAGGAAAATGTTATTTTAAACTCGATTAGATTATTTTTCGGACCGAACTAGGTGCGTATAGATACATTTCGGTTCATCGCGGCACTCGACTGNGAGTTCCTTTATAGTTTTTACAACAGTACCTTATCCTATCGGTAAAGTAATTTTTTCTTCATATTCCGGATATTTTCCATCTCCTATTTTTAAGAGTAACTCTGAAAACTGCTTAGCAGTCTTATCTGCTTTTAAATGTACTCGCATATTTTTGGTCAAAGAAATTTTTWCTATTAGAGGCCATAAATATGAGGACTTGATGCAGGCTGCAATTTCATTACCTCCAGTTCCTCTTGGCACGACCGGTAGAGTTTGTGGCCCAGCCAACAGTACCGTGACTCCTCTAATCAATAAATTCGAATTTTTCAGATCCTTCAGACAGTTGATTAAAGCTTCAAATCTTTTCTTATGAGACATTAAACTTTCATCCCGAAATATGASCTTGATTTTTTCAGAACTTTCGCCAAATTTGATTGTTTATTAATATTGCACGTTGTGGTCTCGATGGTGTTCAAATTTAGTGGCAACTTGAAAGCAGAATGAGCAGTTTTTCCTCCATGTAAAAACGTATCTTTCTTAACTCCTGACCAACCCTCGACATTCTGGCCATATTAAATATTTACATCCAACAATTYATTTCTTATTTATCCACATATAATACGAAGCAACTTGTGGATAAACCAATGTTCTTGCAAAATCATCGATTTGACATATCAGAAAAAAAGCCTGAAGAGTAGTTGTAGATGGATTTTCTATTCTTTCTATGATATTATCTGCTGTAAAGTAAACACGTTGTCCATTTTCTAGGTGAACATCAAGATGACTAATAGTTGGGTATCTATCGTGTATATGAAAACCTAAAATTGTCTAAGTTGCTTCGGAACTATTGATATACCTGCCACTTTTATATATTTTTATTTCATCTTTATTGTCAGTTTTTCCTAAACTAAACACTGCGTGATCACTACCTTTTGTGAAATATTTGCATGCATATTTTATTGACTTTATTGAACTGGTTATCTAAACATTTATATGAGCATTAAAAGTACGCAATAAAACTTGGTTGTACGGAACAATTCACCTGTTATCCAAGTCAATCGACTTAATACTCACTTTGAAACCTCCATCATTTGTAGATCGCCTTCTATATTTTGGATAGATATCTTCTATTTGATTTTCTTTAACGAGGGTAACTGGATAACGTTTGCTGCTAACACCTTCTTTCRTGCAAGAAGAGTTTCTGTTCAAAAGTCCACATGGTCCATGTATCATGTTAGCCTTAACTATCTCGTACACAACTATAACTGGATTCGGAATCTCAGCACACACGAATTTATCTATCATATCTGATGATATTTGATTCTCCAACCATACTAATATGTGTACGTGAGGTAGGCCTCGCTTCTGCCATTTAATGGAATATATATGGCATCTTAATTTCCCAAACAAATCACAATTTTTCAACAAATCCATTAACTTTTAAATTAAAATCTCTTGCAATGATGTCTGGGCGATGGTAATTTTTTTGTCCTGGTAGAAGTGCTTCTTGGATTTCATGCTATTTTGGATTACACGTAAATGTTATGAATAAATCTGAGCTGCCATAGTGTCGAACGTTCGTCAGTGTATCTTGGGATAGTTCATGCATATATCGTGGACCTCCTATAAAAGATGTTGGCAACTCTACTAATGTTCCAAGTTGATTTGCTTCAACATCTTGTCTTCCAACTACATCTTTTAAATGAATATTTTATCTGCTCTAAGCTTTTTTTGGTGATTTCTGATAAAATTTAATTTTTCAGTCTCTAATTTTGTGTACATATTTAAATATTGTTTTAGTTTTGGTCTATAATGAAGCAAATGATTATCTAGTTCTTTTCTAACCATAATTCTGTATGAATAAAAGTCAGAAGCTGATACAGTTTTATCATTAAGGGAGAATTTTTTATTGCATCCTTCTGAGTATTATTCTGTAAAACATCTACTGACACCGAGTATCCATCTTCTCCATAAAAAAACATCAAAGGGTATTGAAGTGCGTTGGAGGATCTGTGTAATTCACTTATTCGTTGCAGTCGATTATCGTGGCTTTGAATGATAATATCTCTTTTTTCAAATTGCTGCTTAACTATCACTAAAGCTACTTCATTAGCCGTTGTTGCATAGTTACAGCCTTTGTGTCCATTAGCAGGTTTTCTATTTGCGTTAGTCGCCGCCTTAAAATTAGTAGAATGTTGACTTTCATTCTCTACCGTGGTTTTAAATTCTCGAATATACTTATTTTCAGTATGCAGCATATTTTGAAGCTGTTTGACTAATGTTCGTTTAACTTCTGGATAAAAAGAACATCTAAATTGAGCTTCTTTTTCATCTTTGCCAACAAAATATATTGGTAAAAATGTTGGGTTTTCCTGAGTATTTTTGAATCAAACTGCCATACAAATGGTATACTTGGCCTTGAACTTTAAAAAATGGCATAAAACCTTCTTAAACAATTTGTTTAGCACCAAACGATKTCATTTTAAAACAACCATTATATTTTCTTGTACAATTAATGAAGTGATCGTGATCAGGGTGGTCACCCATGAGTAAACTGAGTAACAGTTCTGGTAGCTGTAGCAAGATATCGAGTTTTGTTCTACCTAAATTGCAGCATATGCCAGGTGTTCCACCTTTCCATTTGAGAGCGTTAAAAAATTTACAATTTTAGTTCATAGTGCCAATGTAATTTTTATAATTAATTGTGGGATCATATGCAAGACCAATTAATTTAATAATTTTCTATTTTCGCAATTGATTTTCAGAATATCCAAGTATGAATCAATTAATCAGGAAGGTAAAATTTAGATTACGAATTACAAATKTCGTAACGTTTTGATGAATTAATATTTTGATAATTACTATTGTTTGGATAGATACTAAAAAAATAAAAATAAATTCTATAAACGAAGAATTTCATAGGAAATTGCGAGTRGTCGTGGGTTTTGGCAAGATTCTGATTTAAATATTATTTTAAGTTTCTATATACGTGTTAAAACCTATCTGTTACAGATACAAGATACTTTGATGCAATTTAATAATTGTAAGCGTTATTTATAAACAATAAAACAGAACAATAATACTTATATACCTGCATATTTTATATTATACTATGACTGCTATGAGTGTAAATAGTAAATACGATGCGTACCTATATAATATATACATTTCGAGAGTGTTCGAGTGATTGTGTTTACGAAAGTACTATACTATTCTTAGATATATGATATAATATATATATTCTACAAGAGCATCTATATACTCGCGGTTGGGACATTTATGGTTGTTGTTTGTTTACACAAAGCGCCATTGACATGTTCGTCACAATGGATGTATATCAGTATATGTGCGTATATACGTCGAAGAGATCTCGTTTCTCCGATAGTAATAATAATATAATATAATATTGTTGGTGTATTATGAAGTAGTCTTGAAAAAATGACAAAAATGACTTAGAAGATGTGTCGCAAACAGACGATAATAATATAATATTTTACTGTTGTAGGTTGTGGCAGCTGCATCGTTGCAGGTTTCTGGAACAGATTATACGACGCGTCACTGTGTAAGATTACACACTGTACTGGGTGACAAAAAAAGGTTTCAGTAATTGACGTTTGTGACGTATACGGTGTTCAAATTACGCAGATTCAAGACCAATTTGAGAAATGTGTTCATTGAAACAAATATATTATACATTTTTAACAATAAAATATGACCACTCGTATAATAATATATATTAAATTATACCGAGTTTGTGAATAACAACCACATAACAATATTTTTTTAATGAACTACTGAAGTTCTTAAAAATATACTGTAATGCAAAACTCACTGTTTGGACGCTTGATAATAATATTAGGTATGTATTCCGTACACATTAATGCCACAATGCCATATAGATAATAAACAAAGTAAGGAGATTAACAAATTATATACTCTTTCAACTTAAAGGACGTGATATCCGGATGTGTGGTCGCCATCTTAAGCACGCTTATGGAAAAATTGTATTCATTAATTTCAATAGCGTGTTGTTAGTTTTGATATTGGAGTTATATGTAGGTACAATATATTTAATCATCCACAGATGAGTTTACTATTATATCCAATGAATTTTAAGGTAAATAATAGAGATAATATATGGTTACATATATTTATTTTATCATTTCCACCTTAAAATAGTATTTGTCCATTATTCCGGCCGTATATAGACTAGATATTTAAATTTTAAATACAGTTTCGCGTGACGTGTGAAGCTGTTCTTAATAGAACCTATATAAATTGGTAGCTATGAACATACAGTGTAGAATAATAAAATTGAGGTAAATACAAATAATGATGAATTACATTATTAAGTCCTAAGTTGATTCAAACACAAAATTTAAAAGAGGCATTTTATATAGAGTTATATTTACTCGAAAAATGTAATGGCCACGTTTCATTTATTTAAAATAACGTAATATTGGTGTTGTGATGCAGATAAGGTTGACAAAAGTTAAATTGAATAAATTAACACGTAACCAAATTAACTATTATTTTAAGTATATTGACGGAGATTAGTGTTTAACACGTTTAAACACTCAGAGTAATATTACAATTTAAGTATTAATATAAATATCTCCAGCATTAATACTGTCAACTAGTCGTCACGTAGAAATAGTGTGTATGAGCGAATTTTAGTCAGATCCCATTTTCTAAGGTCTCGCGAGTATTCACTATGGGTTTTAGTATTTTAAGAAATCACCTTTTTCTAGTATACATTTTCAATAGTAATTTCTATATTATAACACGTACATAATGCACAATACTGTCTAAGTATATAATATGTGTATGTTCCGTCCAATCCTACCTATTATAGTTATTTCAACACTGTAATTTGTTATCTCCGTCTTATAGTTGCAGTGTAAGATAGCAAATTTACGTTAAACAGATTACGTGAAGCTTTGCTAATTTAAAAATTATATAGAGTGAAGTGAGTGAACCGACCTCTCATGACACTTTATAGTAAGAACATTTTCTGTGTTTGTACCTGGGTTTTTACCGATAATTCAATTTTTAAGTGAGTTATGAGTTTTTAAATTATGCTATACTTATTATATGCATAAAAGTTCTCAAAAAGTTTTCAAATTAGATTTGTAGGTCTTCTAAATTCAGTATCTTACAACAAATATCCATTAGCTATTGTTAATGTCTATGTAAGATTTTATAAATAATAGTATTATTAATATAATGTTCAATAACTACTGGTATTAATATTGTACCTATATAATGCTTTTTAGTAAAAATTTTAACGAGTAAAATTAATTATTGGCGTCTGACAAAAAAAAAAATCAAACATACTGCATAGCTGCAATTGTAGTTGTTTGGCAGTATATTGATGATGCTATATATCTAAACATTTCTGTGTCTAGTTCGTATATGTATAGGTACACGAGAATCATTTACATTATTTTATTATGATATACAGGGTGTAACAGAAAGATATGACAGATTTGTGTAAGATTTACATGTAAATCTGTCATATCTTTCTGTTACACCATGTATAGGATCATTGGTATATTATTTTATATTTACAACACACGTGCGAGCTCAATGTATATTATATTTTCAGTAGGACAGAAAGAACTTAGGTAATCGTGCTTATATAGGTAATGGTTTATAATACGGTAGGTTAGGTTTATAAAATAGACGGTACCTATATAATATGTACATATCTAATRAAAAAAAGTAGTTATACCTACCTATATAGTTGCGTAGAAAAAAAGAATGTTTGGTCCTTTCACATCGAATAGGACGTATATATTATTCACACACGAATGAGGGTATATATATTATATATACATAATATACACATACAAAACAAGCAATATAGGCAATGCATTATTCAAGCATGCAAGTAATATCATAATTATACTTTATAGTGTATGAGTGACGACGTGCAGTGTATTGGATGAACAATGCTCATCTAGACCCGAATCCTGATCTTAAGAATTTTTAAGTACAATATATTATTATATACTAAAATACCATATTTTTAATTACTTAAGTTTCTAATTCTAATAGCGTATAGTAAACTGACGAATTGCTTATACCTGCTATAATATAAGAAATATCATTATATATTATGTTACCAATGATATGACTGATTGAACAAACACTTGAATCTGCACCGATAATCAAGTCTCGAGATTAAAATAATTATACTTAAAATATCTAGTGTACCAAATCTGTTTACGTCAATTTTTCGACGATTTCAACGAGCGAGATGGGCGAATCGCCAATTTAGAATAAAACACTTTTTATTGCTCCGGTTCAAAATTCGTAGAACTAAGCTCATATTTGGAATATAGGAATAAGAATAACGTTAAAACAACATGTCGTCTACTTTAATTCATCACCTCATAGTATTTAACGGAGGGATGGTCAATAAGCATGTGACCCATCAAGAAATGTATAAGTTTTAGCTAATTTTTAAAAATTGTATAGATACCTATTAACCTATTTTAAAATATTGAGATGAAATAACTATTTGGGCACAACGCACAAATATATAAGTCAATGGTGAGTATAGGTTCTTAATAGTGATATTTGCCAACACTAATATTACTTACACTAAAATATATAAAAGTGCTCAGATTTTTTGAAAGGGGGAGGACTTGTGAATTTTTATTTATTCTCAGCCCCGTATTACATAATGTATACCTACATTTTTCATTATATATTTAAATGATGAAAATAAACTAATGGGGGGGGGGGCATGACACCCTCATTACCTGCATGTGCAGCGCTCCCTGTATAAAAATGCATGCGTATATTTAATGGTTATTTATAGTAATCTATATTTTAAATTTTTAGCGTTTTATACTGTATCTACTATAATTTGTTTGTCTATATTGCGCAGGTATACTGATAATCCCGAGTCTGTAAAACGGGAAGGAAAATGTTATTTTAAACTCGATTAGATTATTTTTCGGACCGAACTAGGTGCGTATAGATACATTTCGGTTCATCGCGGCACTCGACTGCAGCGTAATACGTGCGTCGTATACATCACTCGACCGGRCGCGTTTTACTCAGCTCTGTAGTCGTGCGCTCTGTACATACGATAATATAGGTAACAATAATACTCTGTATATACGATATACTAACCCTACTCGGATCTTCTTCGGCGCGCGTGCGTATCCGTACATACAGCCGCCGCCGCGTTGTACACCTGTAGTAATAAATCATCGTCGTCGCTCTACACAGACATCATTATAAAACGCATACGCACATATACATACGATTTTTCCGGGCCGTATCGTTCAAATGATTGACGCACTAATTTGCCTCGCGCGTTACAATACGTACACCTATACATATAATAGGTAATAAT